ATAACCAGCTCTACAAGCGAGCAGCCTCAATGCCCCTATTACGCTGCCTTACTCCTTATGAAGCTGAATACGCCGTGAGAGAAGTTCACGAGGGAGTATGTGGCACGCACATCGGCGACAGAACTTTAGCTCTGAAACTCCTAAGGCACGGTTATTACTGGCCCACTATGGTCGAGAACGCACAGAACTATGTCAAAAAGTGCCCGACCTGTCAGTTCAATGTCGATGATATTCACATGCCATGTATCCGAGCTCGTTCTATAGTTTATGCTAACTTAATGACTGTCTATGAACTGAGCATGAGTACCTTCCTTGAAACAGGGAAAAGGCTATCATCTCTTACGTCTCCCTAGCCTTTTGCTCAATGGGGTGTCGACCTGCTCGGCCCTTTCATCAAAGGCAAAGGAGGCTGCACTTTCCTGGTCGTTGCAGTGGATTACTTCACTAAGTGGATAGAAGCTAAACCATTATCCACAACAACAGAAAGGAAAATAGAAGAATTCTTGTTCAATTCTATATTGTGCAGGCATTCTTTGGTGACTTAGGTCGTAAATAAAATGTATGCAAATGCCGCCTTAGCTCAGCTCGATTATTTGTGTGCAGGTTTGGCATACCTAAGCGGATTATCGCCGACAACAGGCCACAATTCCGAGCAACGGAATTGAGATCGTTTTGTAACGATTATGGCATTGAGCTCGCCTTGACATCTGTATACACTCCACAGTCCAATGGGCAAGCCGAGTCCACCAATAAAATCGTTTTGCGAGGCCTTAAGATGCGTGTTTTGACTGCGCATTCTAATTGGGTGGACGAGCTCAATAAAGTACTTTGGTCTTGTCGTACTACACCCAACTCGGCTAGGGCGAAACCCCTTTCAGCCTGGCCTATGGAGCTGAGGCCGTCATCCCAGTAGAGGTTGGATTACCATCTGAACGAGCAGGCTGGCGTGACGATCTCAACAATGAGCAACTGTTGAGAGAAAACCTAGACTTCGTGGAAGAGGTCAAGGAGATGTCTAGAATAAGAAACATGGCACATCAAAGTCACGTTGCAAAATTTTACAATAAAAGGGTTCGAGCTTGCCAGTTCTATGCAAAGCTGGATTAACTAACACTCATTCACACATGGGCAAGCTCACTCCTAATTGGGAAGGCCCCTATATGGTTGTTCAAGTTAAACAACCTGGCTCCTACGTGTTAGCAGATATGCAGGGACGTCAGTTGCCTTACATTTGAAACATACAGAATCTTAGAAAATTTTACAGTTAATCCGTATATTATTCTTTTGTCCAAGTTGTTATTCCACAGTTGTAAACAACGATATACAGAAAATACAACACAAATTCAAAGGAAAACTCATTTTTGTATTTCATCAAAGATGTTTACAGTCAAGGTACATATGCTATGAATCCATTGATCAAATACAAAAATGCAACAGAAAATACAAAGGAATAAAAGAAAAAAGTCCTAAGCCTGGTCATCCGTCAAATCGACGGGCATAGACGCGTCAGCTACAAGCAGAAAGGAGCGATCTGGTGGCGAGCGAGCAGCGACCTCAGAAGCTAGTGCCGTAACGGGAGATCGAGTTGGCACCGCGGCGGGCTAAGAGTCTGGTGGAGTACTGGATGGCTCCTGCTCAGCAACAGGAGCCCCTTCCACCCATCCATCAAAGGAAGGCAGCCCCGTTGGGTCCTCCCCCTCTTCTACAACAGAGGGAGGCCAAACAGGAAGTCCCTCCTCGTTGAGATCCCATCTCAATCGCACCGTTGTGTCAGCCAGGGGAGCAAGGCTCTTACCCTACTCATCGATATCTTCCCTATCGAAGAACGCCAGCTCGCGGATGGGGAAGTCAGGGCGGTGGTGCAGCACCTTACCACGGATCTCGTTATAAATCTCCGTGGTCATGTTCGTAGACGCCACCGCCACTACATCTTGAAACGTGGACGAGCCGACCAGCCATTCTGCTCCTTGGGCTCGAGCAATACCGACTAAGCGCGCATGAGAGGCCTTCAGTTCGTTCAGCGCCTCTTCGGTAGCGCTGAGGTTCTTGTCAGCCTCAGCGACCTGGAACTTCAGGGAACCCAGCTCGTTCTGAGCACGGTCCCTTTCATCCTCGGCCCTCTTGGCTCGCTCCTCAACCCGGGCGGCCTCATCCTTCGCCGTTTGAATCTCGCTTTCTCTTTCAGCACGGGCTCACTCAAGCTCCTCCTTGAGCTCATTGATCTTGTTTGCGAGCTCTTCAGCTCGGCTCTCCGCTGCAGCAGCTCGGTTCGCCATTTTAGAGCCTTGCAGACGATTCACATCGTCCACAAGGCTAGCCTTCTTTACGGCCAGCTGCTTGCACTTTGAACCGAGCTCGCGGTTCTCTGTACGAGCCCCCTGCTTGCTCTCGTACAGTGCTACTGCGTAGCTGAACGCCTGCCAAACAGTGGTCACCATTAGTCTCTAAAAGGGAAAAGCGAAACACAAAAGCAGACACGAGCAGATACTTACATCCATTAGTTTTATCATGGCGACCTGGCCACCATGCTGCTGCACAAAAGCTTTGGCCCGCTTACTGTCCATGGGGGGCACAAAGCTGTGCATGCCTTGCACCATGGCGGGCTGGCACTCCGCCCTTATATAGCTGAAGCCTTCAGGATAGGCGATCCTGGGGCCCGACACTGAGGCCGACGTGGAAGCAGGCTCGACCGCCACCCTCGCAGTTGTTGCTGGCGCGTTAGAAGCTGCAGGTCGAACCGCCTGCGCGGGCTGGGTCCCCCCGCTTGTTCTACGCCGAGCAAGGGGGACCTCATCTTCCTCGCTCTCCGTCTCCTCGCGTGCATGTCTGCGAGCACTCGGGGCTGCAACCTCAGCCCTATGCTCAGCCCGCGGTCTAGAGGCTGAGCTGGATCCCCGATGGGACGAGTTGCGCGATTGAGGCGCGGCCGGCGGTTGCTCGTCGAACCCCGTTTGCCTGGGTTGCCCGCTACTCGCCCCGCGGCCTCGTGAACTCTGGGCTCACTGACGTTGGCGTTCCAAGATGCTGCTCATTTCTCCTGCACAAAAAAACGCATAAGACTCAGCTCGGCTAGAATTAGTACCATTTAATAAAAGTATACCTTCTGTGAACAGGTTTGCCACATCGACAAACCCGAACACGGCAAGCTGCTCCGAGGTAACCAGGGCTTCTAGATCTATTAGACCCTCCCTCTACGCATACTCAAGCAGCTGGCTCTTCAGGTCTACATCCCGGGGCAGCAGTTGAGGATAATTGATATGAGCGTTGGGGGTGCGCCACTCAGACAACCGGGCAGCGAGGTCGTTGCTTATCCTTTCTGCTCGTGTGTCGCAATCAAAAATAAACTGTCTCTTCCACCTCACCACCTTGTTCCTCACATTTTTGAAGAGCTGGCTCTTATCCCTCCCAGAGAGGTAGTACCACTTCGCTCCTCTTGAGTTCGGACACAGCCGGCATTGAAACAGCGACCTGAACACGATCGCCTTAGCCGATACTTCTAATCGTTCACACAACAGCATAAAGCCAATGATGAACCTTATGCTGTTGGGCGTCAGCTGCGTCAGCGCCAGCTCATAATCCGCCAGCAGGTCGAACACCAATCCGGGCAGGGGAAACCGCAGGCCGGCGTCAAAGTGGTCCACATACACTGGGATCCAGCCAGTCTGTGACACCGTGCAAGCCCTCTCATTTGGTGCGCCTATTCGTAACAGTATTGTCCGGGGAATATGATACGCCCTCACCATATCCTCCAATTTTCTGTACCCGCTAATTGAGGGCGTGCAGTCTGCTACTTCATGATGAAGCGCGGCCCGGAACCTAAATCCGGCGGGCAGGTCCTTTGGCGCCTTTCGTAGGTTGTCCAACCTGCCCGTGATGGTTCTGCTCTCCCATTCTTCCATTACAGGCCGATCTGAAACATGGCTCACTACATCCCTAGCCTCCTCCTCGCGGCCTGGTGTCCCCTCGGACGAGCTGCTCGACGGCGCACTAGGGTGGTCGCCACCGTTGTCACTTGCGTTGGAACTGGTGCTGCTCTCAGACGCCATTATTTCCGGCACATCCTGCAACTCCGGCGGCACTATCATTGTGATAGGCTCTACTGACAAAACCCCTTCCTCTTCTCCCTCTTTACCCTGGTTACCTCGTTGCTCTGTAAGCTCTCTCAATGAAACCATTTTACCTGAAAATGATGCGAAGTTGATTCGGTGTGCTGATTCTTCAAGCTGGAGTGTTTTTGCTTCAGAGAATTTTGGAAAGTTTAAGCAAACGCAGAAATGAAAATGAAAGAGGAAACGGTTATGCAGAGAAGGATATGGTACTGTTAATTACCGTACGCGTGTTTCTGACACGCCAACTAGCGTCCCACACGTGGCAGGCGCTTAACGCCCCTCCTGCATAACGTGCGCCGGCTTTAGCTGTCACGTCCCTCAAATGCTGAGCCAGCATTTATGACGAGGAAGGCAAAGAGATATGGAAAGTTCAATCGTATCTCCTCAAAGATTTGCTTGACTCAAAAAATCCCAAGATTCAGATCGTAACTGCTGATGTGTACCCTGTACTGTCACACCAGCTCGCTATTGTGAGCATACTTACCAGGTCGTTACAAAGATGACATATTCGCCAGATTGGCTCAACCGTGCCAATTCGTTCACAAGTGTAGATCGTATGCTAAAATCCCCCAAGATTCAGCTCGTCACATATCGTGACGACAACCACATTTGTCAGGTCGTTACACGGATTGCAACTCACACCAGGCCACAAACCTCTGCTTAAATCAATGGGTGCCTGAGGTCGCCCTATCTGACAGCACTCCTCGTGCGAGCTGATAAAGTGGTGGTCAAAAACCTCAAGTCCCACTACATCTAAGGTCGTGTAGCCTCACCTCATGATCATAGCTAACTGGGTGTCGCCTGGTCGCACTTCGGTAATACTCAAAGGTCAGGTCGCCACATGGACGAGCTGAAAGGGCGTTATATACATGTCTGGTCCTTGTGCGAGCTCGTCTATTGCGAATCACTTCAGCTTGTTGCCACCACAAGCCCACACTAGTGCGGCTAAGGATGTCAGCTCGCCCCTACGCTTTTAGACTCGCGAGCTCGCCTCTTTTCGTGTTACCTCTCAGCTCGGCCATCGCCAAGGTCGGCAGTAAGCTATTAAAGCTGCCCGTCATAGTCACCAGCTAGAACGTTGACCCATGGTCACATCCAACCCAGTTCGTCAACCGAACACCGAGGGGGGAGTAATGTTGGGATTAGGCCCAACGCCCTCTTAGGGCCACACGTAACAGGCCCAACTACACACCCACAGGCCCAAAAGGAGGAGACATACCCACGTGGGCAGCACCACGTGGGCCAATGAGAGGCTTACATGTGCAGATACATGTCAGCACTTGGGGCTATAAATACCCCCCAACCACGTCCGAAGAAGGTAATTAATCTCTACGCTTCTCTCTCTGCAATTACTCCTTGAAAGCGTCTCTCTCTAGAACACTGAGTATTGTTGACTTGAGCATCGGAGTGTTTTCCCCGAGGAAACAACCTCTGGATTTTCAGGTGTAGAAGCAACTGAGGACTTCAACAGTGTTGGACTGCAAAGCTATCGAAACACTACTAGCATAAAGTGGTATTTACCAATTGTGTATTATGAATAACTATGAGCAATTAATTGTTAAAATCAAATCAACAATTGAATAATTTACTTTCTGAGACACTGACATTAAATCTTGAATTAAGATTATTTACTTTTGTGAGTTGTATGTTTGACTCTCACGAAATTCTTTTGCTCATTATTCCAATTAATATATAAATAATTTTAATATGTTAAAAAAAAATAAACCAACAATTAAAGTTAAACCAAATAACCAAAAAAAAAAAGAAAAAGGTTTGAACTTTACCCACTGAATTGATTATCATAGACAGGTCGATAAACGACATTTGATGTAATGCGTTACAGACTAAAAGTATACGAATTGGAAAATGAATAATGCAAGGACTATTACTTTTCTCAACAGATACAAAAAGCCATGTGCCAATGTGTCACCAAAGTTTGGAGGACTAATTTCTTAATGCCACGGAATCCAAAGATAAACATATAATGCTTTTCTAGTTTGTTGCTATGCTATCATTTATAACAGATGATTACGTTGACCCCTTCTCTTGGATCGTGCTAAATTCCAGTTTTATCTTCTTTCTTCTCTTATGTAAGGTACAAAGCTGAACTGTTTGAGTAACAGTGATGGATTCCAGTGTACACACCCAAGTGAGGTAAGATACTTATGCAAAGTAAAACTTTGATGATATTACTGAAGACATCAAGCCAAGATGGATACATACAATTCATGGTAGCATCATCAAAATCCAGAACTTATTATAGACTATTTAAAGAACTTTTCTAAGATTCAATCCTCCAAAGAGTGGGTTAACCACTGCTCCGGTGAAGAACACAAGCCCTGAAGTGTCCTCTCTTATCATGAACATGAAAGGATGGTCAGCCACAAATCTTGCTGTTGGCCACCTAGCACAGGAGAGTCTGGTGGATGCGGCAGTGCTAGCCGTAGCTTCTGTCCCTTCTTCATTAACTTCAATATTGGATTTCCGGAATACGCTTGTGACATACGCATACAGCATGTTACTTATGAGAGAATCTGCCATCTCAGATAGATCTGCACCAAACTTACATGAATGGTAGCTCAAGTCCCATTTCTTTCATTGTCTCTGAAGCTTCAAACTCAAATGAGAATTTAAATCTGGGGATCAAAACATGTTCAATGTCCTCTTTCAATAGCTTGAAATGCTGATTAAAGAAGCTGGGATCTGAATTGAATCTTTGGATCAGATTTGGCAAGCTATCTTTCTCATCAGGAAGAAACATGTACATGGAGAACTTCCTTGTGTCTTGACCACTTTGATATGGACGGTGAAGTACTTTAAAGCCATCAAACGATCCATAAAAATGTTTCTCATTGCTCTTGCTGATCATGAACGGAGCTTGAACAATTTGCCCATTTAGGAAGTGAAATTCTGTATATTTTGTCCTTGATGGATCAAATTTCCCGTCCCATAATCCTTTGAAGTAGAGGGCATTTGCAAGAACAAGCACTTCCCCCCCATCTATGGAACCCTTTTGGAGAAGTTGCTTCATTAGTCCTTCACTAGCTCAATTACTCCATCAGCCTTCATGACATGCAATTTTTTCATTGGAAACAGAAAATTCAACTGAGAAATTCAGCTATCTGTAGATCAACAAATATGTGAGGATAATTCTACACAAACCTTGTTTGCAAATTTAACTTCTTTCACTTTTGCCTTGTACACATCTTTGACGAACGCTACAGAAGAAGGCTTCCATATGAATCAGCAATCAAGCCAAGCGCCATTGACAAAGCACGAGGTTGGCCCTCCAGCATTATTGTTCCTCTCTTTAGTTGGTGATGTGAGGTTGATTATCTGTGCAGATGAACTGCTAAGTTGGCTAACATCATTTGCTCCTCGAGATGAAGCTGCTTCAGAGTACCAATCACACTCAGCATAACATGGAATGACAAAGGAGACGACACAAAATTTAAACCTTTGTTAACTTGTCAGAAGAACTTGGTTTGTCATCCGCAAACAAAAATCAGTATTGAAAGTGCATCTCTGTCTGTATGTTGAAGAATCCATTGCAATCTACTGAGTTATGCCATTCTTCTTCTTAACTGGGATATTGGGGTGGAAATTGCAAGGTAAACTCAATAGTCCAGGTTTTTTTTCGGTGAACCAATATTGTACCTTTTTCTTCATGGTTTAGGGTACAACTTTTTCTTGTGGTTGCTTAATCATTGACATATTGTCTGCACCTTTTTGTTGTTGTTCTCTTAATCAATAATTTGATTTTGACGAGGAGATTTACGGTGCTTTTTGGTAAATGATATGTAGTTCTAACTGATTGACATGTAATGGATGATTTTGCAAGCATTTCAAATTGTAAATAGTGGATTTGCAGAGAAAAACCTGACAGATTAAATCATGCCCCAGGTTTATTCCAAGTACAATACGTTTGGTACCGACGCTACACTTCTTATTGACATTAGTCAAGCTACATCAGTCTAAAACAACACCATATCCATATCACAATTACTTAAACTAGAAGGAGAATGGTAAAAAGAGCAAAGAAGTGACCTAAATGTTGCTGGTATTATTTAAGTATTCAGTATTGTAGATGGATAGTTAGCATTCCATCAAGGAGTAGATGAAGTGGGGAAGCTGACGAAGGGTGGCTGAGGAAGAGGAAATGGAGGCGGGGGAATTGGTAAGGACGGTGATGGTGGTGGTGATGGTGAGGGGGTAAGGCGGGGTATTGATGGAGAAGGATTCAATGATGCTGGAGGGGGCTGGCGGGAAAAAGGAGGAAGCGAGGGGGCAGGAGGCCGAAATGGTGTTGGTGGGGGGGTAGGGCCTGGTATTGGTGGAGAAGGATTCAATGGTGCTGGAGGGGGCCGGCGGGAAGAAGGAGGAAGAGGGGGGGCAGTAGGCTGAAATGGAGTTGGGGGGAGAAGTTGGGGTGGGGGTGGATCCAGTAGGTTTGGTGGAGGAAAGAAATAGGCAGGGTGGGCTATATTTCGTTTTGTTAACGGACTTCCCTTTCCAGGTAATGGTGGAAGGGTGGGAAGCCCCGGATGAGGTGGCAAGGAAGGGAGGTTGGGGAGTTGAGGCAATGGTGGGAGAGCGGGGAGAAAATGAAGTTGAGGGAATTTCGGTACTTTTGGGTCCTTTATTGGAGGTGGAACTGTAATCGTATCACCACTGCCAAATCCGGTTTTTCTGTTGTTGATTACTCTTGAATCATGAACAATGGGTTTCCGGCTACAAAGGGTTGGTTGCTTCAGAGGCTTGAAAGTGAAAAACCCAGCTGAAAATATGTGAATTCCTTCTTTCCTTGACTTGAGATGGAGTGAAGATGAAGTAGCTGATGAGGCCACGGCACAGTAAGGCTCACTGCTGTTTATCAGTTTCACTGAACACCTCTTTATTCTCTTTACATATCTGCTTACAGTGAAAGGCAAATCAACCTGGAATTCTCCATGCTCATCTGTTTTCACTTCTTTCCGGAAACTCTCCTTCAAATTCCCATCTTTGCATTGCACTAAAACAGATGCGCCTGCACATACAAATATTAAGTACACAAGGTAACAAGCCTATGAAACAGAATGTTCAGAAAACAGCAAGCTTTGAAAATAAACCTGGAATGAAATGGCTGTCCCGGGAGACATCCTGTTGGAAACAAGTATCACAGTATACAGTTCCAACTACAACTGCAGATGGATGGTTCTTATGATGTCCAGCCTCTGACAGACTACTAAATCCGAAACTGAGGAACAAGATTATGAAAATCCAAGACATTTTCAAGCTCTTTTTGGTTCTGAACAAGAGTAAGTTGAAGTTCTTTTAGAGCTTTAAAACATTCAAGTTTTATGGATTGATCCACCAAGGTCTCTTTATGGGATTCATGCAGAAACAAGTGAACTGCAAACTTGTAGCCGCGAATTTAGGTTTAATTCCCATCACCAACCAACTCAATAGTGAAACTTAAATTGGGGGATGGGATGGATGAATACGTGACTCATGTGCCTATGTTGGCTTTTCTTTCCTACGTTTGTTACGGTTACATTTATTGAGTTTTGTTCCTACGATGGTATGAAATTATAAGATCCGTGATGGTTGTCTTCCTGTTAGTTCACGAGGCATGGAGAGTAACCAAGATATTTCTGTGCCCGAAGGCCTACTAGAGCATCATCCGACAACCAACAACGAGAACAAGATGCTTAGAAACTTGAAAATGTATTTGTTTTTTTGGCTTCCTCGACATCATCGTACCTCTACCCTTGTTATTAAACATCAGAAAAGAAAATCTACATGGGATCAGAGGATTATTGCTCTTTTTTGTTGTCCCTGCCTTGTTTTGTTAATACCATTAATAAGTTTTTTTCAAGGTGAGGACTGATGCCACTTTTCAGCAATAGACAAGAACCGACACACGTGACATGGATGTGTAGAGTTAATTACATTACACTCCGACGAAATGTGTTTGCCAGTCCAGATAGATTCATTTTAATTACAGTCCGGCTACGAAAAGACCATTTTTTTCATTAATGAATGAAAACGAAAAGGGGAAAGGCAGAGGAGCAAAATGGAATTTTCATGCTCAGACTGGCATTAAATTTAACCAGTCTGAACTGAAAATCTGAACTTGATACTCAGAAATGTAGTTGCAACAAGCTGATGTTAATTCAATTAGAGCATGTCAAATGGTAGAAGAATAGTACTACAAAGAGAAATGATGAGTTCAGAGAGCCCTTCAATGGCATTCCATCAACCCTCAAACAACACAACAGAAATACAATACATAGAAACTATTTAACAATAGACCAAAAGGTCACCTATTATACAAGGAGATTATTAAAGCAAAAACCATTTTTGAACAAAGTTATGGGGAAAAGGATGAAAGATCAATCTAGCTGTACCTCAAGTTCCGAGAAAGCTGCGCGGATTTCCTCAATAAATGCCTCTGGTGCATGCAAACCTTGTTTTCCAACCCCCACCATTTTAAATAATTCTCAAGAGATGCATTCACTTGCACCTCCAACAGTGTCTAATGTTCTGTATAGTGCTGAAATGGTAGATAATCTTCTACACCAAGAGGTAACTGGTAAGATGTATGTATGCAATCCAAGGTAAATTGGACACATTCCACAGCATCAGAATGGTCAAATTCTTTCCTCACAAGACCTCCTTATCATAAAATGTAAGAAGTTGCTTCACATGATTATGCCAAGCAGCAACATTTTGCCCATCAACTGTAACCCAGTCTACAACAGTAGCAGCAGGTTGCTCCCACCATTCGTCTAGCTGCAGTAGAATACTCAATTCAGAAGTTACATTAAAACTGAACATGTGCAGGAAACCAACACACAAAAGGAACATTACAGGCCCATAAAACCAAGATATAATGCCAGCCAATACTCACCAAACCCCTGACATATTTGCAGTCCTCCAAGCACTTTTGAGCATTTAAAACTGCAGTTTTAAGTTCAGGTAGCCATTTTTCCATGACAATTTTCTCTTGCTCAGCCGCCAAACTCAAACAATAATTGGTAGTCCTGCACCATGATTTAATAAAACATATAAAGTCATAATTCAGATCCAATATTAGTTTCTTGTAAACCTTTTATCGGGTCCCAGAATGTATGTCAATTGCTAAAAATAAAAGGTGATTACTTATTCACATTACCCTTTTTTTCTTCCTTTTCCTAAGTTCTTTCTTACAAATGCTCCCACATTTAGAGAATAATTAAAGGTTCAGCTTTTTTTAGAGGGACACTCATGTGGATACAATCAAGAAAGAGATAAAAAGAAAAAAGAAACCTAACAGATAGTTTTAAGAGGAAGAACATCCAAAGAAGTTACAGAAAACAATATCTTACCTGGCATATTCTTGCTGGGCACGGTAAGCATGTTTCAATAACGCATGACCACTTTCAACAAGATCCTGGCGGACATGAACCAAGTTGATAGCCTTTGCTAATTCCTCCAGCACATTAGCCTCAGAACCACGAAGTTTCAAACAGAACTCCAGAGATTCCAATACTGATGCCAGACCAGCATCTGAACCTTCCAAGCCTAATCATAAAGTAGAGGTAATTACATTGACCACAATCATGCTTAAAAGAATAAAAGATAACCATAGATCAAGCAGCATTCGAGTTCACTCAAAACATGAGAATAAATCATAAAGGAGAACCATGCAGAATTCTAAAACTAGAAGTACCAGTGCTGTTATTTTTTATCAATCACAAAGAACAGGGTAAAATAACACACAAGAAAGTCCATGTAAGGGCATAAACACCAATAAGTTTCATTCAGGGTCCAACAGAAAACTTCTTTCCTTTATTTATATGTTATTTTCTGCTCCAGGTTGTCAGTGCAAACATTCAATAATTTCCCACCAATTTCAATTAGATAACTGAAGATGAAAGACTGCCTCAATAGAACTACTGTGATCCTCATTTAGCCAATAAAAGCTTTGGTGAACCAATTAAATGCTCATTGGTGATTGCCAACTGGTATCATTTGGACAAATGTGATAGGAAAAGCAGTAATCAAGCACACTCAATTTTGATGCCATTTCTCTCATCAAGGTCCAAATCTGCACAAACTCACCAGCAGGGTACTGAAGAGCAGCAGAAACACGGCATATGGAAGGAATTGCTGATGGATCTCTAGCACCAGCTCTTGCAGTCAACAAAGCAGCATTCTTCTCTGCTGCAGCAACAGCTTCAGGTCCAGTAGATCCATTAGCACCCATGGACTCCAGAAGTGCCTAACAGGAAAGGAATGACACAAATCAACTGACTCATCCAAAATTAGTGTGCAAACACCACAATATTATACTACAAATACAAACATGTAAGCCATTCAACAAACCAGTATATAACAACAGCACTAACAAAATTAACATCTAGTACTGCAGTCTCACAAACCTGTGGGGTTGATGGAAGCATATAGAGGCTGTTATCAGGACTTTGATAGAATGCAGAAACTTCTTTATCAATAAGATCTTTTGCACTATTTGAAATATCTGCAACAACATTACATGCTGGAATAATAGTGCTGGAAGCATACTCCCTTGCAGCTAATGGCTGCTGATTCCAGAATGAAGCTGCATCCTACAAAACAAAATGCATCAAGTAAGACAGGTGGTATCCTTAATTTAATGTAAAATATGTTGAAAAACATTACAAAATCAACAAAAGACAGGAATCACTGTCAAGAAAAAAAAATTATATAACAAATCCCCCCACTTCAAAAACTATTGTTGCAAGTCATGGATGAGAATTTTTCTAGTTTTTACAGTTTTAATATCATTTGCATCACTTATTTGAGCATCAAAAGAGTCCACAATGATGTTAGTGAAGCATCCAGGAAGGCAGAAGGTCCTTATTGCTAAACTCTTTCCTTATTGCTAAAGCCTAAGAGTTTAGCAGATGGATGTACAGCCATGTATGAACAAACAGTTCCTATTCCAGAGCACATAGCTGGACTTTACAGGAAATATAATGGGTGAAGTACCTTACCATGTTAGCCTTTAGAAGAGCTGTGTATATTGTTTCAAGTTCAGATCTGCGAGCATCAAACTCTTCAATCTTCTTCCACTTCTTTCTTAAAGAATCTTCAGCTTCTTTCCTCTCTGCACACAACTTATTCAAGCGCTGTATTTCAGACATCAATGTATTTAAGCTCACCCTTAATCCAGCAGCTTCTCTCTCCTTGGACCAAACCTCCAACTGCAAGAGATATAAAGCAACACATTGCAGCACTATTTGAACTATTGACATATATCACATAAATCAAATGTTCAAATACCAGAGATGAAATTGGCAACGCCAACGATATGGGCATAATTTATAATGGAATATGGATAAAATATAGGGACCTCTTAGATATACATATTTGTTGAATAGCAACTGTTATCCTACAAGAATTAAGTTTGGAGCCTGTTTTATCCTTATATTCACCAAATTCAAGTAGACCTTCTCCATCTAACATGAATTGGTTTTAGGCTGAATCCCTTAACCTTGCATCAAAACCAAGTTGTTTGTACTTCGTTGCCACATTTGTTGTTATTTAAATCATTTTTACATTAGCACTAGATTATCAACCTTTAACAAAGACAAAGGTTTAACAAAGAGATAAGGTACAACTCAAAATGAAAATAATATATCAAAACAATACCCACTGGTTACCATAAGATATCCAAGGAATTACCTCAAATTGCCTAAGACTACCAACATTTTGTGTTGTGCCTCCAACAAGTGAGTGTGACGAAACAACATCACCGCTTCCATGGAAATGTTTTATAAGCTTTTGAGACAAGTCCCTAGCTTCTGCAGCTTTGTTGAGCGCATCTTCAGTGGCTAAAAATTGTTGAACATGCGCTTTCTGTAATCCAACATATAATTAACATACAACTGAGTAAGAGATGACTGAGCAAAATCAACACACAACAAAAGAAGGATTAACAAAGTTAAACTAAAAACAGCAACCAAAAGTCCAATCATTCAGCTTAAACAGGTAAACCCCATAACCAAAGTTAGCAACAATATGCATAATGGCATTAAGAAAGAGAGGCAACAAAGGTATAGTAGAAGTCAAATTTGTCACACAGAAACAATTATCTGGAAAAAAAAAACCTGTCTCTCAAGAAGTTGATTTTGAGTTCCTCTTGAAGGTACATCCATCCCCATCTTCCCATTACCATTAAGTTCAAAGTTTATTGGTGAGCTCACATCTGGAGAAGAGATATCCATTACTCTGTTGTTCTCAAACTTGTACCTGACAATGATATAAAAGAAATTTTAATTTAATGAAGGGGGCTAGCATTAATAATCATAGTCACAGTAATAATCAAAAGTAAACCAATACCCTGGTAGGAACTATTTTCCTATGCAAAAACTGTTCACAAATATGATGATTGATATGGATCAAACAGACTTGAGAAAACAAAAGTGAGATCTAGGGTTATAAATTAAATTATAGGAAAAAAAAAGAAGAAGCAGTTTTTAGCTGACAGAACTACCAAATTATTTTCAATTTTCCAAGTGTACAATTAAAGCTGATTAAAATAGGGGAAGAATTGAGGGAGGGAGGGAGGTAAGTAAGAACTACTATGAGCAGAAAAGCACAATCATACCTTAGGGTTTCTGCATCAGCTCTAACATCAATTTTCTCTATTTCTCGGGATATCAAAGTTTTCAGCCGTACTGTGTATGCAGTAATTGCTTGAAGCAATTGAGGAGGACTCTTGAGACAATTTATGATAACAGTCCTAACTTCATCAGGAATCTCACCATCAAATTCAAAGCCTAACTTGGCAGCTTCTAATTGAGGACTTGAATGGATACCACTTCCTTCATAAGCAGGAAAAGAATTACGTATTTTTTCAATCATTCTCTCTGCAAGAGATTCACATGCTTTCCGGATATTTCTTTCCCGTGTTGTTTCAATAAGAATGACATCATCCACAGATTTAGCACCCTTAACAGTTGAATATACAGCTTCCTTTTCAGTCGTTGCAGTGAAGCTGTTTACCAGTTCAACTGAAGAGTCACCACATGACCTCTGAGCATTCCTAGCTTGAATGACATACTGATGAATACGTTTATGATACTCTGCAAATATTTTTGCTGCTTCATCACATTGTTGGTCATAAGCTTCCAACATCACCTGTTTGTGCCTGAAATATAAAAAGGGATTTCTTAATGTAGTCCATGGTACATAGGGGACTCCAGTAGTCAGACAAACATTTGAATAGAAAATGAAATAAAATTCACTGAATAGTTTCACTCTTCAAGTATAATAGTGGTGCTTTAGAAGTTTAGAGCATCTGAATGAAGTTTAAGATCCTATCAACCTAGAGCATCTGAATGAAGTTTAAGATCCTATCAACGATGATCAACAATGATCACCTAATCAGTCTTTAGTTCTGCATCAATGTGCAAACATGCAACCATTGTTACCAGACTAATCATATTGCATGTTACAAACTTAACATATGAACAAAAATATAGCTTTAAGCACTGCTGTGCAATTACAAAAGCAAATTTCAAAACCAAATTTATCTTTTTCACAAAAAATGTAAAATAAAGTACCCTTAATTTGATAATTTCCCTTTCCTCCTTTCTAGCAGTACTTTTCCTCAATCACCTATACCCTAACAAAAGAAACCCAGACGTTGGATCAAGTGCACATGCCAGAAATGTTTCAAGAGAAAAAAAACCTGTAATTGGCCCGTTCGTCGAGCATTCTCTTGCGCTCAGCTTCCTCCCTTGCGACCTCCAACATTCTAGCTCGCAAATCTTTCCTCTGCCTCCTCAATATATTCCTCAGCCTTTCCACCTCCTTTGCTGCCGCTTCCCTCTCTCTCAGGGCCGCCTCCCTGATCTCTGTTGCACTTGAACCCTCTCCTACCCCTACCACCTTCTCCTTCTTCCTACCTTTGGTTCTCCCCCCCTCCTTCCCCAAGTTCACCAAATTGGCAGTGTCACCACCACCATGCACAGTTATATTTCTCCTGATATTCTCCACAGTTTTCTCCGATTTCACTCTTGTTATCAAGAAGTTCCAAATGGGTATCATGTTGCCTCTGCAAATCTTCCGAAGAACCTCAATGGACGGCAACTGCGACTTGCTCGAGGAACTGTACGGACCCAGAGGCCTATAGCCCATCTCCTTCTGCAGCCACTCTAATATGGCCTCTGGTTGCGCCATGGAGCTCGACGAGCTCTGCATTGTCCAAACCAAGATCTATCAAGACAGCAACAAGGAACTTTCAAAACACCAAACCGGCATTGGGTTTTCCACTTAAAAACCCTAATTCCAAATTCGCATTGCGTGAAATCAAACAGATTACAAAACTAAAACCCCAGCTTCATTGGTCGATGAGTGATGCACTGTGAATTGTGTCGGAATCCATCCAGCGGCTTCAATCCAGAATGCAGCAGTATAAAAAGGAAATCCTGGAAAGCAGGCGATCCGTACACTTGCAGAATAATGTCAAGAGAGAAAACGAGCTCGAATTCAAAGAAGAAATCAGGATAAAGAGAACCCAAATTTGTACAGAGGCCAGATAGATCTGGTAGTTAAAGGACGAAACGGCCGGGCGAAAGGAAGACGACGACGGGAGACTAATAGAGAAATGTACTTCGAAAATGAATTTTGTATTAAAAAAAAGGAGGCCTTTTTTAACGTTCAAAAGAGACGTCCCGCCCTCTGAAATTTTTTTTAAGGAAAAAAAAAATAAAAAAGAGTATGCTGAGATTACACTGTATTATTTTTTTATATTCGATAATTTAAAATTGAATTACATTTGACTCTATTTTGAAAATTTTTTTTAATATTTGTTTCTT